TGCGCAGCCAGTCAGGTAACGGGCCTGTTCCCACCAACGGCTGCCTGTCAAGCACAACCTTCAGGTCAACATTAAAAAAGCTTTCAAACACCCACTTTGTATTCGGCCTTGCGACGCCTTCAAGCTCAAGGCGGCTTTTTTCCTGGCGGCTAAGCCATTCTTCCGCCTCTTCCAGCCTGTTTATCCAAGGTGAGCCGGTGTTTTTGTAGAACAGAATCACCGTCTCTTCTTCATCTTCAATGTTGCGCAACTGATATGAGAAAACATGCCTCAGGTAAAACGCCGTGCTTACGTTTTCACGTATCTTTGCCATAAAGTTTGTTGTTAGGTCTTTTTCCAGACCTCTGATGAAGCGCCATCGAATGTAACGCCGCCCTTTACTTTCTCCCCCCTCATGCGTTGCATCGTCGAACAGGTCCAGGATCTCGTTCTGGTAGTCTGTCACTGTCCGGATGTTTTGCGCAGGGAAAGGGTCGTACTCCCTCAGAAGCTCTTGATTTTTTTCTCGCCTTTCTTTGCCGGGAAGGGGGTCTTGGCTGGTAAGGTTTTGGATGTAAAGGTTTTTGCAAACGCTTCTGCGCTTCTTGGGAAATAGGTTCATCCAGCACGTTCTGAACAAGCTTTCTTACAGCTGGCGCGTTTTCTGCAAGTAGTTGCTCAAAATATTGCAACGTTATTGGATCGATTTTTGCAAGTTCTTCTTCCAGTCTTTTTTCAAAGTTTTGGTTAACATAAGACATAGTGACTTGTGATATAACGTAAGGTTTCATTTCTCTAATTAGGTTGACATCAGCTCGAGCAAAACAAGTTCAAAAATTTTCTTTGCTTTTTTCCGCTTGCGGTTAAGACGCTGTTTTATCGCGCTTCCGCCGCATGGAATGCAAAGACGGTAATCACACAAAACCCCGACTCCGCGGCCTCTACACGGAGCTGGCATTTTCATTCCTTTCTTCAGTTGATGGTTGTGCTGCCTGCAATAAGTGACGACACAGTTCTTTCCGCAGCTTTCTTTCCGGCCCCGCATCAACCACACACACTTGTTTGTTGCTCGAAGCATCGCAAAGGTTCGGGCGGTATAACAGCGGGTTCGTTTGTTTGTAATTGGTATCCCTCCCCTTCCCTGTTGTTGTAAGTAGTATATAGGGAGTCAAATGAATACTGTTTCAAAGAGGGACGCAGCATTTCCCCGTTTTGCAGCCCCCCGGTTCAACCGAAGCGAGCTTGCGAGCTTCGGAATTAAAGCTGGGGGCTGCAAAACGGGGAAATACTCCTTCCTCTGCGAAACGGTATTCATTTGACTCCCTATATACTACTGGGACTATCTCGTTTCATTCCACAGCTCCTTGGCATGAATTAATAAACACAACAGAAAACCGTTCTTTAATCAGTTGTGTAGACTCTGATCCCTGTTGAAAACAAGAATACCAAAGAAATATTGTCCAATGTGTACAAAAACATTTCACCTAGTTGTATTGAAACCGATATATGCAAGTGAAAAAAATCAAAAACATAAGAACAACAAATGAATTGCTTGAACAACTGGATATATGATTTCATGACCATATTTTCCCTCATAATATAAGAGCTAACTGATCCTTGGATAACCTGTAAAAATCATTGTACTAATTTTCAAGAATCTACACAAAACACGAAAATAATAACAACATCAAAGCAAGCTAAAAATCGTAATGAAAAAAATCTAAGCACAAATCTTTTCCACACTTCTCAAGTTATATATCATACATCCTTGGTTTCTGGTGCATAGAAAATAACTTTTAAGCTAGCGTCTACCTTCGCTTTATTTGACGGCTGGTTTTCCATGACATCAGCAATTCAAGGTTTCATTGCTATGTTATTTGCTATAAAATTCACCAATTTTTAAACTCAAATAGGCCAAAACCTGAAGGGACGCTATGGGACGCTTTCCCAGGAAAGTGTAATATATGAATCGAACATTAAATCAGTGGGATTTTCGGCTTCTAGCTTTCAGCTATTGCATAAGAACATTACAACCCATTACGTTTGTTCGAAAAGACGAAGCCATTTTGGAAGCTAGCACTTAGGCCAAAATTATTCCTGGTTATCCAGCGAATATATCAAAACAAACGGTCCATACAGTAGCCTTAGTCACTTACCTTTTTTTGTGATGTGCTGAACAGTTCATTTGCTGCTACTTTATGGGTAAAAATCACTGAAAAACAACACACTATGCTTCCCTCTGCACTCGAGTTGAGGGAACGTGTCCAGATAGGACGAGGCCTCTCATTGGTCAATAACACCTCCCATACTACATTTCGGACCGTGTCCAACCTCCTCTGATCTCACCCATAGAATTTGAATGATATATAGATTTAGGCCAGCCTAAAAGCGTAGCTCCTGGGCCGGGTTGTTCAAAGTCCGATTAAGCTAGCCCAGAAAAAGGTAGAATTTTGATTTCAGTTTTGTAACTTTGCGATGAGGTTTTCTGTATATTGTTTGGCCTTCTGTTTTGGTCAGCGGTCAACTTCAAAAAAGCACGTGACCTCGAGGAACTGTAAACTTGAGCCCGCGATATAGTCACCCTATACTGGTCAGCGGATGCCTTGTTTTGACAGGTGTCAATTGATCATAACATGGATGTCCGATATCAAGGAAGTACACGATAAACCAAGGCTGCATGTCT